GCCAAAATCAAGACTCGGACACTTAACTACCCAGCCGCCCCCACTTTCTCACTTCTCACAACAACCCTCTTTAAAAAAATTTTTTTGATGTTTATTTTGAGAGAGAGAGAGAGCGTGAGCAGGGGAGGGGGAGAGAGAGAGAGGGAGACACAGAATCTGAGGCAGGTTCCAGGCTCTGAGATGTCAGCATAGAGCCTGACATGGGGCTCAAACCCATGAATCACGAGATCACGACCTGAGCCAAAGTTGGACAACTAACCAACTGAGCCACCCAGGTGCCCCAATAATCTCACAACAATCTTCTAAGTAGGAATTATCTTCCTTACTTTATGGAAATAGAACCTGAGTCGCAGAGTCTATAGGTAGCTTTCCTAGTCACACCAAATTTTTCTGGAAAAAATTAAATTGTACTTCACTTCTAGTTTTCTTTTTTTGACGAATAACTGTGTAAAATATTTCAAGGCAATGGCAACTCTATTTGCTGTATTTCAACCTTTGTTCATGCTGTTCTTAGCTGAGAATTTTCTCTACAAGTACAGATACTTTTGGTAGCACAGAACTCTGAAATCATTACTTTAGCGGATCTATAATTGATACTTTTTATTCAAACAGCATTTTAAACTTTCTTGGCTTCTTGTCACCCACTGTTGATGCCCTTAACACTCCCGTCTAGACCTGTTCCTTCTACAAAACTTACCTGTTCTGATGGCTCCCGTCCCTTTTGCCTGGGTGGCTCTCTAAGAAAAACCTCCTCACCTCTCTTCCCATCCCAATTTCCCAGCTTCTCATGCGACATCACCTCCACATCCTCCCCCCCCCCCCCCCCCCCCCCCCCCATAAAGACAACCTGGGAAGAACCTTTTGAAACCTGTTCCATTTCAATGGAATACTCATTCCTGGTTTCTGGATTAGAAATCTGATATCACCTTTCAGTATTTTATGTTATGTATGTATTTGTTTCCCTCTAGGCATTTTCTAGACTCACCCTTTCTGGTCCATTTCTATTGTCACCAGGCACACCCTGATGCCTGCAACTAAGAAAGTGGCAATGGCCATCAACATTTTTCCTGACTCTAGGCTCACTCCATCTAAACCGACCTTGCCACTTGGGCATTGGCCCACGCTCTTACCCTGATTTCTGCCACAGCTTTAGGAGGCCTCCTTGCCTCCCCCCTCATCATTGGAGGCAGTTTCTATACAGCCATAGGGGTTACCTTTCTAATGCACAAGGGTTATTCTGGAGGCAAGGAAGCCACGTAATCAAATCAAACACCTTGGCATAGCATATAGAGCATTTCAGGATCTGTTTCAGGATCCAGTCCACAGATATGTGAGTGCCTGCTCTAAACCAGGCACTGTGGTAGCAGCCAAACATTCAACACAAGAGCTGATACCAACCTTAGAGCAGTGGGTGCCTGGCCACTTCTCTGCTCCTAGCTTCGCATATATGAAACCTGCCAATCTAGCCTTTTCAGTGTCTCACATACTCGTATTCTTTCAGGCTCCTACTAGAATGTGTTACCTTTTCCAATCAACAAAACGAAAAGGCTGCATGCTGACTGGGAGAAGATATTTGCAAAGGACATATCCAGTAAAGGGTGAGTACCCAAATATATAAATAACTGATATAACTCAACACCCCCCAAAATAAATAATCCAATTAAAAAGCGGGTAGCAGACATGAACAGACATTTCCCCAGGGAAGATATACAGATGGCCAACAGATACGTGAAAAGATGTTCAGCGTCACTTATCGTCAGGGAAATGCAAATCAAAACCACAATGAGATGTCACCTTGAACCTGTCAGAATGGGTGAAATCAAAAACACAAGAAACCGTAAATGTTGGCTCGAATGTGGAGAGAAAGGAACCCTCTTGTACTGTGGGTGGGAATGCAAACTGGTGCAGCCACTCTGGAAAACAGTATGGAGGTTCCTCAAAA